GTCTCACCTATTTTGGTCATGTTGTAAGAAGGGACCATTCTGTGGAGAAGGATGTCATGCTTGGTAGGGTGGAGGGTCGACGAAAGAGTGGGAGGCCTTCAGGGAGATGGATTGATACGGTGGCTGCGATGATGGGCTCAAGTATAGCAGGGATTGTGGGACTGGCCGGGATCGGGCAGTGTTTCGTTCTGCTGTGCATGGGGTCGCTATGAGTCGGAAATGACTCGACAGCACTTAACAACAACAACAACAGACCAATAAGCAGCATCACAGTAAATGGAGAAAAGATTGAAGTTGTCTACAACTTCATATTACTTAGTTCTACAATGAATATTAATGGAAGTAGGAGTCAAGACAGCAGATGAGATATTGCCTTGGTCAAATCTGCTGCCAAAGACTCCTTCAAGTGCTGAAGAGTAAAGACATTTCCTTGAAGACTGTTGTGTGCCTAACCCAAGCCATGTTATTTTCAATCACCTCTTATACATGTGAGAGCTGGACAATGAATAAGGAAGACCGAAGAAGAATTGATGCTTTTGAGTAGTGATGTTGGCAAAGAATGCTGAAAATACCATGGTCTGCTAAAAGATCTAACAAATCCATCCTGAAAGGAGTTCAGCCAGAATACCCCTTGGAAGCGAGAATGGCCAGACTTCATCTCACCTCCTTTGGTCATGTTTTCAGAAGGGATCATTCCCTGGAGAAGGATATCATGCTTGGTAAAGTGGAGGGTCAATGATAAAGGGGAAGGCCCTCAACAAGATGGATTGACACAGTGGCTATCATCATTGGCTCAGGTATAGCAAGAATCAAGAGGCTGGCACAGGACTGGGCAGTGTTTTGTGCTGTTGTACACATGGTTGCTCTGAGTCAAAGACAACTTGACGGCATCTAACAACATTGATAGGGTTGCTATGAGTTGGAAACAAGGACAGTGGAATCTATGGTAGGTTTAAGGAGCCTTAGTGGCACAGTGGTTAAAGTACTTGGCTGCTAATGAAAAACTGGCAGTTAGAACCCACCAACTTCTCTCTGGAAGAAAGATGTGGTAATCTACTTGCATAAAGATTACAGCCTTAGAAACCCTATGGGATAGTTCTACCCTGTGCTATATGGTTGCTATGGAATCCACTCAATGGCAATGGCTTCATGGTAGTTTTATGTTTATCTTTACTTAGTCCTTTACTCTTGTATACCTCCTGGAAGCCACCACTCATCCACCAGTTTGTCATACTGCGCTGGCATGTGTGTTGCTGTGATGCTGGAACGTATGCCACACATATTTCAAACATGATCAGGGTCACCCATACGTTTCTGTGGAGCTTCCAGGCTAAGGCAAACTAGGAAGAAGGAAGAGGTGGTCCATTTCTGAGGAAACTTAGCCACTGAAACCTTGTGAATAGCAGTGAACCACTGATATAGTACTTGAAGAAGAGCCCTTCTGCTTGGAAGGCATCCAATGTATGACTGGGGAAGAGCTGCCTCCACAAAGCAGAGATGACTTTAGTGACCTGGATAGAGGGAAGCTTTCAGGATCTTCATTTGCTGATGTGGCACGACTCAAAATGAGATGATATAACTACAATCATCCATTAATAATCAGAATGTGGAATGTACAAAGTATGAATCTAGTAAAACTGAAAATTGTCAAAAATGAAATGGAATGTATAAAGATCAATATCCCAGGGATTAGTGAGCTGAAATGGACAGGCATTGAGGCACTGGCCATTTTGAATCAATCATATGGTCTACTGTGCCAAGAATGAGAAAATGAAGGGAAATGGAGTCATATTCATCTTGAGAAAGAACAACTTGAGATTAAGATACATGATGGCATCCCCCAGAAAGCAACCCAGACATAGAAACATCAAAAATAAAATAAGCCTAAAAGACTGAAAGTAGGAAACTAGAGATGTCAATTTGTAAATGATGACAACTACAAACCAAAAGAGGAAATAAACAGTGTAGTTACACAGCTTCCAGATGCAGAGGAAGTAAAGACAATATCACCAAATAAGGGACAATTTTACATTTGGGTCGGTAATAAGAAATTACAAGGTAACCTGAAAGAAAATAAATAACCTTTCTCACCAAAATAAAAAAGGATAAAATCATAAAGTCTCAGTAAACACAGCAGCATGAAAGAAACTGTAAGAAAGTCTGTAAACAAAATGAACTCAGCATGGAAAAATATAGAGAGCAAAGAAACCATTAACACCACACACAAACACGCACACACACACACACAATGGCAAAATGGCAGCAGAGAATTCATATCCATCCATAATTACACTGAATGGAAATGGATTGATGTATTAAATGCACCAGTCAAGAGACAGTGTAGCTGAATGTATAAGAAAACATGATAGATCAATATCCTGTCTACAAAAGACACATCTTAGAAACAATGGCAAAAGTAAGCTAAAAATCAAAGGATGGCAAAACATGCAACAAGCAAATTGCAACCAAAAAAGAGCAGGAGTGGCAATATTAATTTCTGACCAAATAAACTTTAAGGTAAAAAAGGAGCAAAAGAGGAAAGGAAGGACATTATTTATTGACTAAAGGATCAGCTGAACAAGATGATATAACCATAATAAATATCTATCCAAAATAGAAATAGCCCCAAAGTATGTAATCAAACATTAACATAATTGAAAAGAGAAACATACAATTCCATAATAATAGTAGGAGACTTTAGTACACAAGTTTTGATGAATCAGAACTAGAAAAAAATCAGCAAAGATACAGAAAACATAAACAACACAACCAACCAAGGAGACATTGTACACCTCTTTTCTGAAGATCATCTGAGCAAAAGCCAAGTTTCACAGACCCCATCCTCTCTACCATGACACAGCCAAAAGACTTATGGCTGCATTGAGCAGCCCCCACTTCTGGGCTCCCTGACTCCACATCAAGGAAGTTGAGTCAGAGAATCAGGGTCTGAGAGAAAGTCTACACACAGCAAGATATTGAGAGATTCCCACATTGCAATGCACTAAGAGATGTGCTCAGGGAGGCCTCATGCCCTAACCAGGACCCATATACTGAAAGAAGTGAAGGCAGCATGCTCCCATGTAAATTGTTGCTTACTGGGTGCCAATCCCTCCTGCTCCACTCTAGGCAGCTTTGGCAGTTCTCTAAGGGTCAGGATTTGCTGTTTCCAACTAGAAAGCTGGGCAACCCCATGAGGGAAGTGCCTTATTTCTAAATCAATTCCATTAGTTGCCTCCTTGTTCTTGGCCTCTTGAGTCTGAGTCTCAAAGTTGTATTTTGGAATTAAAGCAGGAGAATTCACCTGCCCACTCCCTTTCCTAACTGAGAGGAGGGCATAACCTTCTGGAGGGCCACTTTTACATCCTTGTTCCTCAGTGTGTAGATGAGTGGGTTCACAGCAGGGCTCACTGCTGTGTAAAGCACAGCAACCACCTTTTCATTCTGCATGGAGGTCCCCGAGCCAGGAAGGAAGTAGCTGTAGATGACAGTGGAGTAGTACAAGGTGACCACCAGGAGGTGGGAGGAGCAGGTGGAGAAGGCGCGGCGCTTGCCTGCTGCCGAGCGGATGCGCAGGACACTGGCCACGATGCAGCCGTAGGAGGCCAGGGTGAGCAGGAAGTTGACCACGCCAAAGTAGACATCAGCCATGACAATCATGACACTGTTGAGGGCCGTGGGGCTACAGGAGAGCAGCAGCAAGGTGGGAATCTCACATAAGAAGTGCCCAATGTGGTTGGGACCACAGAACGTCAGCTGTGCCATGAGGCCCGTGTGTACCGATGTGCTGACCACACTGACTGTCCACACGGCAGTGGCCAGCAATGTACACAGTGGCCAGCTCATGATAGAACTATAGTGCAGTGGCCGGCAGATGGCCACGTAGCGGTCAAAAGCCATGGCTGTGAGCAACAGCAGCTCAGCCCCCAGGAACCAGGTCAGGAAGAAGAGCTGGGCCAGGCAGCCGTGGTAGGAGATGGTGTTTTCCTGGACCACCAGGCCCTCCAGCAGCTTGGGGAGAACAGTAGATGTGCAGACGATGTCCAAAATGGCCAAGTTGGCGAGGAAGAAGTACATGGGAGTGTGCAGGCCTGGGCTCAAGCTGATGGTTGTGATGATGAGGCCATTTCCTGTAAGGGCCATCAGGTAGAGGAGGAGGAAAACGGCTGAGAGCAAGACCTGGAGCAGGGGGTCTGCTGAGAAGCCCTGCAGGATGAACTCCACTACGGCTGTGTGGTTGCCTGCTGCCATGTGTGCAAGCCTCTCAGGTCCCTGGACAGTGGGAGACACAAGTTGGTGGATGACATGGTCCTCAGCCGTAACCTTCCTCAAACCCCACCAGACCTTTTTGGTAGCTTCGCTCAGAGCACCCAACTAAGGTATTGATATGTCCCTGGATCTTGGGGGCCTTGGGAGAACTAGTAGTTCACTGTGGACACTGCCAGGTAACCAACCCCAACTGGCCCTGAAGTCACCCCTCCCCAAAAGTTTTCCCTCATTGGTGGCCAGGCCAGCAGAGCACAGCAGGTTACACAGTGAGTGTAGAATAAGCCTTTATTCACTTTAATTTAAGGCACTTCTTTCCTTATCTGGGGGCTTATGGGTGTCCACTTGCTTCTCTGTGCCCAGGACTCACCACTGGCTGACCCAGGTGCCAAGGAGGGCTCTGGAACTCTGTGTCCCAGGAAGAGCAAGGACTCTGTTCTCCTGGGTAAATGGAGCCTCAGGGAGGGGAGAGGCAGTGTAATCCACTACAGACTCACCTTTGCAGATGCTTTAGTCACAAGCATGACTGCCAGGCCAATGTCACCCACTGTAGGCTACTCACCAAGAAATGGCCAACCCCCTCAAGGGGGAGGAGTGGCAGGTATCAGGGCAGTTGAGGCTGCTGGCAGGAGCCATGACCCCATTTCCAACCCCATCCCATTTCTCCCGGGTGGGTGGAAAGCAAGTTCCTTCAGTAAATGCCGGGCTGTGCAGGGCTGGGGGCAGCAGGGATGGGCACATGCCAAGCCTCAGCACAGCTCTTTGACCTCTCCAATGATGCAGGGACCCCAGGACCTCTGTCCCAGGTCTCTGGGTGGGACCCCACTCAGGGAGTAGCCAGATCCACCAGCGTTCAGTTTCCCTTCCCTGGACCATTGCAAATCGCAGTGGGGCTCAGAGAATCCAAGGCCTTGTCCTGGATGCGGATGGAGTGGGCTGAGGGCTGACCCAAGGCACCGTGCCCAAGTGCGTGCACATTTTAAATGTAGCCTTGCCTCCTCCACAAAGTAATATGGACAGGACAGTGCACATACCGAGGGACATGGGGTTAGCCTCAGTGACCTGTGGAGTGAAGCTCAAGGGTGAGAAAGTTCTGGGTTTTCTGATCATGCAGGCATCCCCTCACCCTTCCCTGTGTCTGTGGAAGAGCAAGGACAGCACAGCTCTCAGTGAACCGCAGCACTGGGTCTGCAGAACAAGAAAGCCCAAACTTCAGAATGGGGCTCTCCATGGGGGCTCTGCCTTTGAGGGCCCCCGCCAGGGACCCCCAGAGGACATGCCCCGTTACCCATCATCCCCCAAAACCTTCAGGTGCAGGGGCAATGCCCAAACGCCCTTCTCTGGCCTGAGCCCCGCAAGACTGAGACCTTCCTACCTGAGGCTCCACCTGGAAGCCCTGCTATTCCATGTCCCCCTCTACAACCTCTCCCTGACCCCCACCCCGGGATCCTGCACCCAATTCACAGAAAACTTGGGAGTGGGGCCCTATGAGTCAGCAACTTCCCACTCCCTAAAGAGCCAAGACCTACTTTTGAGAGCAGTGCCTAGCCTTGCGTGGTGCCCTTCTTATAGGTAGATGGACCTTGCAGAGAGTCAGGACACCGCATGGGTGGGGGGCAGGTCCAGCACTTTACAATTTCAAACTGAAACAGCAAAAGACACGAGCAAAACACTTTAGAGGCTTTTTTTTTTTTTTTTTGCCGAAGTAAAACAGATCAGTGGGAAAAGAAATCTGCCTGTCTAGAAACGTCCAAAGTGAAGTCAGAACAGACAGTCCAAAAGGCCAGGGGTGGACAGCCAGACAGCCAGACAGCTATCTACTACGACTGTGTTCACTATTGATACAAGGCACACATCCCAATCAGTTTCTGTCTGAACATGACGCAAAGTTCACGGAAGCTGCGTGGCATCTCAGGCTGCAGCAGATGAGATGTGACCTGTGTCTAAAGCCCACGTCTAGCTACTTGGTGGCTCCTTTGTTTGCTGTTGACCTTTAACTGGCGGCCATCCCCTCAGGAGGAGGCTTCATTGGAGAGTTGCCAGGCGAGGCCCTTGAGAGCAATTACCCAGCCTGGAGATAGGTAGGCCCAAGGGGTGCAGTCGTGGGCTGACTTGGCTTAATGGGCCAGGGTGCTGCACGTGGCTGCTTTCAGGGCTCCAAGGCTTGTCAGTGCCCCTGGAGCGGGGGAATATGGGTGTCCCATGGGCTGGGCCTAGTGTCTGAGCAGACAGTTCCCTGAGCGGGAAATCCTTGTCACCATGACTCAGACTAGAGCCAGCATACAATCAACTCCTGCGGGAAAGAAGGGTTTCTGTTCAAACTGACTCTAGTTTTTAGAGCAGCTTTAGAGTGACAGAGGAGCTCTGGCTGTGTGGGGGTTAAAGCACTGAGCTGCAAACCAAAAGGTTTGTGATTTGAACCTACCAAGCCGTTCTGCAGGAGAAAGATGAGGCAGTACGCTTCCCTAAAGATTTACAGCCTTACAAATTCTATTGGGGCAGTTCTACTCTGTTCTATAGGGTCTCTATAAGTCAGAATCCACTAGATGGCAGTGGGTTTGGTTTGATTTTGCGACTGGCAGAAAAGCCGCGAAGATGGGACCAAGATGTCCAGACTTCTCCAGCCAGGTTCCCCTATTGTTAAGATCTTACAGTAGGGTGGGACATTTGTCACAGCTAATGGGCCTAAACTGATACATGACTTGTAACTGAATTCAAGACTTTATTCAGATATCCCTAATGTCCTCTTCTTGCCCACCCAGGGCCACATTCAGGACCACACCCAGCATGCCACCCACGGCTCTCCCCAGGACCCAGTCAGTTGCCTCATCTCCTCAGCCTCCTCTAGGCTGTATCAGTTGCCTAGGCTTCCCTTGATTGATGACCTTGATAGTTTAGAGACTTGCCCAGGTGTTTTGCACAATGAATCTGTTTAGGGATCTGTCTGAAATCTTTCTCCTGATGACATTAAGGTTGTAGATTTTGAGAGGAAAACCTCAGGGTGCCCTGCTCATCACATCCTATCAAAGGCACAATCAAAGTTGTGTCTATTCCTTTAATTCTATCAATAAACATATTTTAAGATGGGGCCAAAGATTAAATATTCCAGGTGACGCTCAGTATTGCAACAGAATTCCAGCAAGTTAAGAATTTGAACAATTCTGTTAATTTTTACATGGGATATAACCTACAGGTGTATCTGCTTTTCTTAAGTGAACAAGTTACCCAAAAATGTGAGCCTGTGGCCAGAGTGACACAGAGCCCATTCAGTCACACTGAGAGAAGAGAGGAGAGAGCTTAAACACTTATGCATAAGTGGGGAGTGGACAGAGTTTCAGAATACTCCAAAAGTCTACCCACTCACAGTGGGCAAATATAGGGTTAACATAGGCTGAGCTAAGGCTTATGAGCACTTATACACATTCCATTCCCAAGAGCTGGGCCTCCTTAACCCATGAGAAGGACAAAGAGGAGCCCCTAAGTTAGCACTGAGCCTTGTCTCTTGGCTCTGGAAGACATCAATACCAAGAAGATCTATTTCTCTCAAGGCTGACCTCCCTGGAATATCTCAGATTATGGTCCTGGCATCTTTTGATTTTGTGCCTCTAGTTCTGAGTGCTCTTTCTTGAGGCTATTTTGTACATTAAGTTACCAAATGTACTATTTTTCTAAAGAGGTGATAGTGACCCATAGAAATTATCAGTGAACAGGGGTTCTTATCACACTATTTCATGGCCCACATGTAACAACAACTTACACAGATAAGCCTTCCTCAACTCCCCTCTGTGGGTTCTGCCTGCTTTCTGCTGGGACCCTGAACCCCACCATACTACCTGTCCTGTGGCCAGGCACTCAAAAATGTTCATATATGTAGGCTCTATCTTTAACTGGGGAAGAGAAACATTAGCAGAAATTTACTATAAGGCACTTGTGCAGCCTAAAACAGCAAACTTAGGCATGTTCACCATCCTGAGGATTTAGTTAATGCTATTGTATTTTCACTTGTTAATTTTGTCACATTCTAATAAAGTTTTTGTAATTTTTTTTAGGTACTGTCGAGTCATCTCTAACTCATAATGACTTGTGTACAGCAAAACAAAACACTGCCTGATCTTGTACCAGTTTCCACAATCCATGCTACACCTGAGCCTATCATTGCAGCCACTGTGCCAATCCATCCTGTTGAGGGCCTTACCCTCTTTCATTGACCTTTACCAAGCATGACATCCTTCTCTAGGAAATGGTCTCTTCTTACAACATGACCAAAGTAGGTGAGACGAAGTCTGGCCATTCTCACTTCCAAGGAGCATTCCAGCTGCACTTCCTCCAGGACAGATTTGTTAGTTCTTTTAGCAGTCCACAGTACTTTCAACATTCTTCACCAGCACTGGGACTCAAAAGCATCAACTTTTCATCAATCTTCCTTATTCATTGTCCAGCTCTCACTTGTATATGAAACAATTGAAAATATCACGGCTTGTGTCAGGTGCACCTTAGTCCTCAAGGAGGCACTTTGCTCTTCAGTAGTTGAAAGAGTTATTTTGCAGCTGATTTGCCCAGTGCTGTACATTGTCTGATATCTTGACTGCTGCTTCTATTGGTGTTGATTGTAGAACCAAGTAATATGAAGTCTTTGACAACTTCAATCTTTTCTCCATTTATGATGATGCTGCTCATTGGTCAAGTTGTGAGGATTTTTATTTTCCTTATATTGATATGTAATCCATTCTGCAGACTATTCTTCAATCCTCATCAGTAAGGGTCTCAAGTTATCCTCACTAACAGCAAGGAAAGTTGTGTTGTCAGCATATCGCAGGTTGTTAATGATTCTTCCTCCAACTCTGATGCCATTTTCTTCTTCATATTCTCCAGTTTTTCAAATTATTTGCTCAGTGTACAGATTGAATAAGTATGGTGAAAAGATATAACCCTTTCTTGATTTTAAACCATGCAGTAATCCCTTGTGGGACAATTAAAATAAGTTC